AAAATAATAAAAAACTATTAAAAAAATAAAAAGAAAACAATTTCAGAGGTGAATTTATATAACAGGGAAATGTATAAAGAGTTAAGTATGGGAGGAAAGTGGATACAAATTTTAATTCAGGGAAAACTATCTTGAGAGGGGCTGGGGAGATGGCTCAGTAGAATAAATGCTTCCCTGCCAAGTGCAAGGGTCTGAGTTCAATCCCTGGTTCCACCAAAAAAGAATATAATAATAATAATGATAATATCTTGAGAAATAATAATAAAGCTAAGTTATGAAAGACAAATACCCAGCAGGGAGTAGCCAGGGACAGAAATTTTTAAAGTAGAACAATTACAGATGCCTTTAGGTAGGAATGATGTAGATATATTTAATAAACAGGAAAGATGCTGGAAAGGGGGAGAGGCACAGCTAAAAATAGTAAAGTATATAGTAAATAGTAAAGTAAGAACTACAGCATATACAACCTTATCAGTAAGGCATCTTATGAACTGTGAATTGTATTATGGTAGTGGGACACCACTAGAAGATCTTGAACAGAGAAATAACATGTTCTGATACATGGTTTTTCTGTTGCGGTACCGGGGATTGAACTCAGAACCTAGTACTTGCCATGCAAGTGCTTATTCTACTGAGCTATCTCCCCAGCCCTGATTTATGTTTTATAAGAGGTTTCTGCCTGATACCTACAGCCTGACTGGTGGTTAGTGGCAGGAATGGAAGGAGGAAAATGAGTCAAGAGTTAGACCACACTATAAAGATTGATCAGAAGTAAATTTGATAGTTTATATTGTTGACCCAACCATCAGGATTTATTAGGAAATAGGCTATGGGATAAGGGAAAGGGAGGAATAATGAATAACTTCTGTGTTTTTGAATGTTCAGGTAGAAAATGGTATAGCTTATTGAAATCAGGAAAGGAACATGTTTATGGATAAATGTTTAATGACTGCATATTTAAGATATCTGTTAGTCATAAAATATAAAAGTCAAGTGGACATTTGAAATACTGGATCTTGTGTTGCTTGCTTTTCTGTTATTGCTAGGACAAAATACACAACACTCAAAGGCAAAGAAGAAAAAAATTATTTAGGGAACAGTTTGTGGAGGTTTCATTCCATCATCAGCTGGCTGCAAAGCAGGGTGACCTAGCACAGGGGCTATACTTCAAAATGGCAGAGGCAGCAAGAGCAAAAAAGGTGTGGGGGAGAGCAAGCCTGTGTTCCTCCTTTGTGTTATATGCAGGCTACCTACCTGCAGGTATGTGTAGCACTCACACCATCTCCAAGCCCTCCTCTTTCACCGGCTCAGGATGTCTACAAAGTGAGGGCTCTGAGTTACTTATTCAAACTTCTAAACTTTTCAAATTCACACAGTGAACTACATCCTAGAGGTAAGGGCACGTCCTCTACACACTAGGATATAGAACTGCTGAGTTACTTCCTTAAGCTTCTAGACTTTTCAGCTTGACACAATGTATCAATCATAACAGATCTGAAGATAAAAATAGGTTTCATCAGTATATTTTATTTTTCAGTGTACTTTAGGAGATTTTTGTTTTGTTTTTTAGCATACTGTTGTCTTTTTATTCTTAGAAAAAGTTGAAGAGAATGAGTATGCTAGATAGAAGAGAGAATTGAAGATTATTTAAAGTATTTACCAAATTTATTTAATAAGAATTGCTATATTAGAAGAAAGGACTCATCAAAATCATTTCATAGGATCTACAGAATTTGATAAAGTTTGATTTAAAGGAATTAATGATGTGTCTGAAGTTGGTACTGCAAACTACATTTGGAAATATGAGTGTTAATTTGCATTTTTGGTCCCAATTTTTAACCATCTGTATATACACGTTCTATGTCATATCATGGGTGAAAACATTTCTGCCCCTGGACTCAAGAGTTTGATAATGTGACTAGCAAGGGTCTTAGCAGATACGATTCAAGCAAAAGCTTTAAAAACTCAAGACATCTCATAATTTTCACTCTTCTACATCTGCTATTATCATGAGAAGGACCTTCTGTGCTAGCCTATGGGAGTGTAAGATACACATAAGACAGAGATAAGACACCCCAGTGAGCCCAATTCAAGCCAATCTAATTTTATAGCCAGCCAACCCCCATAATTTTTAATTGAATATAAACATCTTTAAACTTCAATTTTAACTTGTTAGAAGACATAGTATACCTGTGTACTTTCTATTAGAGAACAATAAAAATTGTTTTAATGCAGGATCAAACATTCCTAAGTTGAATGCACAATTTTAATCCTAGCATTCAGGAGGCTGAGGCAGGAGGATTGCCACAAGTGTAGGGCCTTCCTGGGCTCCATAGTAGTTCAAGGCCAATCTGAACTACTTAGCCAAGACTATAAAAAAAAAACCCAAAATCAGATTTCAATGCTAATTAGATGTGCTACTTTTGTTATTTAAAACCTAGAACCTGTTTTATTATATAGTCAGTGGGAATAATAATAGTAACTGTTTAGGGATTTAGCAATTCATCTGCATCATTCCTGTATTCATTTTTCCTTAACTGGATGGAAAATTGCTTGTTTCACCTGGAACAATTAGATTCTTTTTCAGAAAATTCTAGAGATGGAATTAAATGAAAATACCTTTCCTTTTTAAGCATACTTAAAGGTTTCTTCCTAAAAGCAGCTTTTAAAATCCGTATATTGGGGCTAGTGAGGTAGCTCAGCAGACTGAAGCACCTGCTTAGGCAAGCACAGGGACCACAGTTTGATCCCTGGCACCACATGCCACACCAGCCCCAATCCCACAGCAAGCTGAGCTGGTCAGAGTCCAGGCATAGTGGTACATGCCTGTAATCCCAGCACTGGGGAGGCTGAAAACAGGAGGATCACTATGAGTCTGAGCTGTGTAGTAAGACCCTGCAACAACCAAATACATTAAAAAAAATCATAATCCTCCCCCCACTGCAACATTTAAGCAAACCCAGCTGAGATCAGCAGAATCAACTAGCCAATCCCCACAATTCCTAACTATGTGAATCACCTAATCAACCCCAGCTGCTATCAAGCATGTCAGTAATAAACACCTGTGTATTGCATGTCACTTAAGTTCTATGTTTCTGCCAATAGATAACTAATACAAGGCTAGGGAGTGAGAAAAGGTTAGTCTGAGTTTTAGACATAGGCTGGGGAGGAAGTGTTAGCTCGATGTTTTGAATGATTATTTTGAGATGGCAAGCATTAGCCAAATACAGAACTCAAAAATCACATATAGTCTACAGATAATCAGAAAATACATAGCTGAAAGTGTGAATATGTTTGAGATTACCCAGGGAGTCTATGTACAGAGTGAGAAGAGGAAATTATGTTACTGAACTGTGAGGAAGAACCATATTTGAAGGAATCATTTTGATCAAGAAGAAATACTCAGAAATAGCTAAGGAGAATGACAGAATAGTTGTATAAAAACTAGGTTTTTAAAGGGGAAGTACCCAGTTAGTAATGCCAAGTGAGGCAAAATAGGTATCATTGTATTCATTTTACACATGAAGAAAGTGAGGTTTGGGTGGGTAATTTTGCTATACATGATTATACATTATAAGCTAGAAAACATCACTAAGGGTCCTAGAACCCAGATCTTTTGGTTCTTAAGACTTTTTCATTTTTATATATTTCTTCTTTAAATTTTTATTTTTGTAATGTTTTTTCTTTAATGTGTACTTCCATTACCTACATTTTTAAGATGATTATTAAATATCTTGTTACAAATAAAATGTTAAAGCAAAATGTTATTTTAATATTTAAAACTAGGTGAATATTAAAAAGAAATACATAGCTCTGAGACCCTTCTGAGATTATAAAATAATTATTACATTACTCCATGTTTCCTTCTATTGTATGTATTAATTTTTCTATGTTTGATACATATATATTTTATGTTATTTTCCTACATGCGTTATGAACCCAAACAATAACATTCCTTTCCTCATGAATTCTATGAATTAATAACGATAATGTTAAAATATGTTACAGAATGAACTTCATGAACTTGAAAAACAAATAGTAGCAGTCTCTGCAGAAACTAAAGAAACAGAAAGACAAATTTATCAGCAAGATACTGCCATCGAGAATTCCAAACTTCAGTGTGGAAGCCTGGAAATTCAAATCAAGACCTTACATACAGAAAATATAAAGCTTAAATTTGATATAGCAGCAGCACAAGAAGATTTTGGAGAACAGATGAAAAGATATAATGCATATTATGCAAAAATAAAGGCATATAAAGATAGTTTGGGGGAAATAGAAAGAAAATGGTCATTTATGACTGAACTTTATGAAAAACGAGATCTTATTAAAAAACTAAAGACAATGAAAGAGGAACTTAGGCAAGACCTCCAAGATCCAGAAGGAAACAAAATAACAAAAACTCAGGTTTGAATTATTAACAATTTTTTGTACGTACAAATATTAAACAGTACATTCATCATTAGGCTAACAGACTACCCATAACTATTCTACTACTTTCACAGTTTTCAAAAACTGGGATAAGTACACAAGGTATGCAACAGCTATCCCAAATGTGTAAAGTAATTAAGGGAGATTTTACAAGTCCCCTGTGGATTTATAAAAATATGTGGTCAGGCAAATCACAGCGAACAATTAATTTATTGGGAGAACGTGTAATTCACCAGTGTTGAGGCTCTAGCTTCCATGCTAATTGATCCAGACCAATTCTAATCAATGTAGTCTACTTAATGCTGTTATACAAACAATCTGGATTAATAATTATACCTTAACCATCTTGATTTTATAGTATTTTTGGTGACCATAGAAGATACAAATTAAAATGTCATTTCTTACTAGAGATCTAAAAAATGTCTTCTGCCCTATTACCAGTCAATTACATCCTAACTAACATTTTCCTTTATGTCGTATTTGTTTTTAGATTTAGTACTTTCAAATCTGGTATTTGTTCAAATAATAGTGATTCATTTTGTATACTTATAGAAGTAATATTTTAATACTACTTATCAAAATTAAGTTTTGATGTGGTTAGCTTGCTTTAATTATGGAAGCACTAACAGTCTTGGATTTATATGGACCATTCTTTTTTTGACTGATATATTTTAAATTTTAGGAAGATATTTCAGAGCTAAGGAATAAGATTGCAACCATAAAAGAATCTATCATTGAAACAACTTGCTTTCTTGAAGAAGAAAAAAAGATACATGAAAACTTAAGAAAAGAAATAGAGGTAAGTCTTTACTATCTAGACTTCAAATATTTAGTAGACCATTTTTAGCTTTGTGCTATAATTTATAGCACAGGCTGTGTAGTCAAAGAGGGTGATCAGACTTGGACAACAGAGACTCCTTAACATAGAGTAAAAGATGCCAATCACTGCTAACTTAAACCTCAAGTTAAAAAGAAAAAAAACTGGTACTGCAAAGTTGGAAGTGAGTCTAAATTCTTAATGTTGTGGTGCTATATATAGACTTGAGTCATTGCTGTGTAGATGATTGGCAAATAAACATGGAAAAGAACATGCTATTGGCAAATAAAGCTAATTTCACCATTAAGACATTAATTTTGATAAAAAGATGCATATTTTAACTTAGAACTAATGAGCACAATTTTTTAAAAAGTGGCTGAGGAATTAAAATGTACAGGTACTCACTGTACTTATGTAAAAATAACCATGACTTTACCTTGTAGTTTACTAGGAATTTAAGTCAATTAGGATTTATCTTTTATTTCTATGCTTATAAATATCAAGATCTATTTTTAAATAATTAGAAAACTAATACATAGGTTGTATATAAAGAGAAAAAATGATAAAATAGAGATATAAAGAAAAATAACCCAGGTATAAATGATATAACAAAATAGCTTAAACCATAGAAAAATTTAAAAATGTTAAAGTAGATTTGATTTTCATTTCATTATATGCATTCATCAGAGTATTAAAGAAAAAGGAGAAAAACATAGCCATTTGTGTTAGAGAAAAATTTAAAATTTTTAAAAATATCAACTCTATTATTGAAGATTTTTACTTTTGAATTTGTCCTTTGTATATGTTGAAGTACACCATACCAATAGAGAAGACTCAGCCCTAGAGATTATATTTATAATACATATAAATAATAGAAAAATGTCTAACCAGTAAAATATTGGGTAAATGATATGGAAAGACTTCTCTTTTGAAACATAATTATCCAAAAAGCAATGAAAAATCTGATCATCCTATTAACAATGAGATTGACAGTTAGTGCCACAGTAAGGTCTCATAGTTAGCCATGATGTAGTGCAACTGATTTTTAAATCATGATTGATACGAGCATAAATTACATCTTGGAAATAATTTTGAATGTATCTAGTAATTTTCTTACACTACCAAATGCATTGTAAATGTTAGGCTTGACTAATTTTGATTAATATTGTTAGATAAGCAGTGACACAGCCAGCCTAAATTTGGGGGTTCTGGGCAGTAGCTCCAAAGGAGAGTCCAAGTCTATTTTATTGAGCTGGGTCTTTTATGGATAGAGTAGGGAGGAGGGGTTAGTGGAATGGGGTTAATGGGGATTACTTTTAAGGGAAGTAGTGTGAGATTAGGAGAGTGAAAATGGCTACGTTTTTAGTTTTGTTACTTCCAGGACATTTAAAAGTGATCCTCAATGTTCTAGTCAAAAAGGAGGAAAAAGTAGGCAGGTTAATATTTTTCATCAGCAATTATAAACAAAAAGACAAATACAGTCACATTACTATGTTGGAAGCATCATTTTTTTTATCAACAGTTATACTAAATGCTTGATATGAGTTGATCATTGATGTAACTTCCTTCCCAAAATAGTCTTTAAAAAGAGAGTGAATTCAAATGCAAGAAGATTATTATTATTTTTCTTTTGTTTCTTATTTTCTATCTCTTCTGAATGTACTAGTCATTGCCCTGGTACATGTAATTCAAGGGGCATCTTTTGGCTGAACTGTAACATTCATGTTCTAATCTTCAATGCTTTCAAACATTTTGTGCCTTGCATATTTTAGTTTTTATGTTAACATTGCTTTTACATTTTTAAATCGAAAAAAATGGAAATGGTTCTTGAATTTCAATATTTTTCTGTCAAATAAGTGTTTTATTTACAAGACCTACCTACATGAAAAAAACATTTCCAAATATCCAAAAATATCTTTTTTCCCATGTCTGTTCTATCTTTATATATTTTGGAATGAGGGAACTAAAGATATAAAAGAGACTAAAGTTAAGCTATGAGATATTGACAAAAAAATAAGGGAAGCAAAAATAGAAAGCATAGAAACACAAAGCTTTAAATACAGAGTTCTAAGCAACCATCGGTGATTTTTAATTCAGAAAATTTAGAAGTGTTGTTAGATTAAAGAGGAAAGTGAAGCAGTCCAACCTGGAGCAGTTTTTAGTAAATGATAATGCTGCAAGCTGTATTTTGTGATAATACACATTGTGTAAAACTGATGACTTAGTCTTGCCTAAATTTTGTATAATCGTAGCTGAAAGTTTCAAAGGATAGAGGAAAAATTATTGCACTTTCAGAGTTTTATTAGAGATCATGAGCAAAGCATGTTTACAATATATAGTATAGCTTCACAACTGACATGCAGTTATACAATTGATGGATGCATTCATACATGCTGTCAGCAATTAAAAATGATAACAGAGCCAGAAGCCTATGAGCAAAAAAATAGAGTAACAAGGAAAAGGTGAGCTAAAGGAAAGATATGAATTATTCAGGAAAAAAGAAATTATTCAGGTAGGTAGATTACATGCTAATAATTATTCTGTTTTGTAGAATAGACAAGAATCTGTGTTCAGTATTATTAAGTCTTTTTATTTGATTTTCTGATATTTTTGAAGTAATTTATATAGCTTATCTTATACAAATATCATGACATTCCTTACAGAATTTTAAAAAATTTAATGTTTATAAAGTTATATGGCTAAAGATAAAAGACAACACAGGATATGAATCCAGATCTGTTGAACTATGTTTCTCTCAAACTTATTTAAAAAATGGTTTCATTTCTAGGACTAAGTAGTCCTTGGTAAAAATTAAAATATTAGGAGGGAAGGGATAATTCCTTTGAAACTATTCCATATCACATTTGTCTATCCCATCACTTTTTTTTTTTAAATGTATTTGGTATAGGGTCTTACTGCTGAGCTTGGACTTGTAGTGATCCCGTTTTCAGCCTGCCTAGTGCTGGGATTACAGGTATGCACCACCATGCCTAGTCTTGTGGCCAGCTTGGCGCACCTGGGAGCAGGGCAGTTGCAGCACACGTTGCCAGGAATTAAACCCTGATTCCTGTATTTCCTAAGTATTCACTTAGTCTGCTGAGCTATATCACTGACCCTATCTCATCACTTTTATAAATATAGTATACACTCTATGGGTGAACAAAGATTATGTAAATTACCATCCATATAATTTTGCAACAGATTTACTTAAGTCTCCCTTATAGATTTCTCATATTAACATATATTGGCCCACAGTTTTTTAATTGCTGCAAAATATCTCACAGTATGATTATACCCTAATTTGTATAACCATGTTACAACTGGTAACAACTGGTTTCAATTGTTTTGTTTTTGTTGTTAGTAATATTGGAATAAGCACAGTAGTACATACCTTTTACACCAAGATTTGAGAATACAATGGTACTTTGGTTCATGAATACTTTTGTTTACAGACAAGTTGATTCACAAACAGAAGTATTTAGCAAAAGTTTGGTTTTGTTTGTAAACTCTGCATAAGGAAACATATTCCCACACAAACACAAACATAGCCATCTTTTCTTTTTTATGTTTTTGTTTTTGTGGGGTTTTTTATTGTAGCTGTTGCCTGCTCAGCCTACCCTGGGGGAGGGGCTGGCATGGCTTGTGGTACCGGAGATCAAGTTGACCTAATCTTACCTCAGCTGGCACTTTATACCACTGAGCTATCTCACCAGTGCCCTGTCCATCTTTTCTAAAATTGTGAAACAAATTAAGTTCATGAACCAGGGTGCTACTGTATATTCTGTTAATAATTGTGACACAACTAATAACAATATATTACATTTAAAATAATTTTACATTTTATGACTACATCCATGAAGGAAATTGGGAAAATGTTCCATTTGGGTTTGGTAAGAGCCTCATGTTTGCATATTAATCCCCTTCATTCTCTATAACTGAAACTGCATGTGCACAAGAATAAAATTCTAAGAGCAGCTGGAAAACAAAACTTAGTAGACTGATGAACTCAACTTAGAAATTTCAGTATATTCTCACTACCGAATGTGCCTATTTCACTCTACTGTAAAATCTTAAGAGTAAAAACCATTGCCTAACTAAGAACTAAGACAAAAACTGGAATAAGGTAAGATATTTATCCACACACACAAAATGAAAGGATAGAAAACAGTGTTTTATGATTGGGGAGATAGCTTGGTAGTCTAAGCGCCTGCCTGGCAAGGGTAGGGTTGTGAGTTCAGTCCCCAGTACTGCATGCCATGCTGGCCCTGGACTCACTGTGCCAGCCCTGAAACTGGGTGTGTTGGTACATGCCTGTAATTCTAGCACTCAGAGGCTGAGACAGGAGGATCACTAGGAGTCCAAGCTGCATAGCGAGACCTTGTACCAAATGAATAAATAAATAAAATTTTAAAAGAAAAAAGAATTTCATGCACTAGAAACCCCAAAACAAGATGTAGTAGCAATTTTACTCTCAGATACTATGTTGCATTTCATCTTTTAAAATAATTTCAAAAGCAAACATGTTATAATTTTCAAGTAAAAGTTAATGAACTTTGTTTCAGTAGCTTTTTGCTATAAGAAATGTAGAAGTTTCTTAAGCTGAAAGAAAATGTACTGGAAATGGAAAACATTGGGTAAATAAATAAGTATTTTTCTTGAATTATTTAAAAATCAGTTGATATTTAAATATAAAAATTATGTTGGGTTTTATAACATATGTATAATAAGGTATGTCTCAACCTTAGCCCTTATAAAATCCTTATATTTTGCACAAAGTGATATTATGATAATAATTGAAGATAAAATATAACATGTTAAAGGAATACATTAAAATTCTTATGGCAACTTATTTATTTATTTTTACTTCTCATAATAATTTCACATATCTGTAGGACACTGTATGGTGTTGCAGTTCCATATGCACTGTCAATCAGTAGATTGAATCAAGATGATTATCATGTTCATCATCTTAAACATGTAGC